ATCTTATAAGGTTTTATAATATTTTATGTAATTATATAATGTTGATGACTCAGTAGTATAATTGGGTATATCATCTGTCCTAGACGGATCGAGCTATGATAGTATATAAAATACAATTAAATGTCTTTCAATGGATTTATGTTTATGTATAAATAACAGGCCTTTTTTTCTTTCTTAAAATAATAATAATTTTAGTCTTTCCCGACACTCCATTATTATAGGATGTTCGAAAAAGCCTGTCTGTTCCACAAAAAACACAAACTGTCTGTTCCAGTCAAACACAACTGTGTAAAGAGTAGCTACTTTTTTTTACAGAAGAATAGCTTTTTTTTATGTGTCACACATTGTACAATAACAATAAAAATACAATTTGATCAGGGCAAATTCGAGTCATTAATGAGTTTATTATGGATTGGTAATCTGGTTTTTCTTGTCCATATTAAACTTGATCAGTTATTTGAAACATTTTACTGTTAAGGGGAAATAACTCTATTTTTATTTGTGAAAAAGATAATAAAATTCAAAGACCGACGATATTGGCAAAGCGAATATTTACTACTGGCCGGTGTTGCGATGGTATATTAATAACATTTTCACTATAGATAATGTTAAAATATAAATTTTGAAGTTTATAATATGATTTATTAAAAGCTTATATATATCAGATGAATGCTGTGTTCTATTTGTTTTTATTATTGTTGTCTATGCCATTAAAACATATACATTTAGATTAATAATAAATGAAATTCAGATTCGAACATAAATTAATATTTGTCGAGTTATTGCCTCATCATTACCTTGTGATTGTCCTGTACGGGAAGATTTTGGTTTTTGTTGTTTTATTTTTTTAATTTGAATACGTGAATACTCCATGGATAAACCCAGGGTATAGTGGAGTTGAACGGAATGAGACCACTGATGATACCGAGGATGCACCCTTACTGACTTAATATTTACTCGCCATATCTACGTTTCACATTAAAGTAAAGTTGTTATGACCTCCACGGGTTGCTGTTAATTTGCTTTTGTCGGTAAATGTATTGACAGCACTCCCAGTCAAATCACTGGTTCGTTTTCATTCCTTCTCGGTGTATACATGTATATATAATTATCTGCCCTTACAAATGTGAGATAAATTGAAAAACATAACTTACAAATAATCTTCTGGGTTTTGTTTTGGGCTGAAGCCTTTTATTTCGTGAAGGCCCTTGAAGTTATTTCGACTTGAAAAAAAAGGAGAAAGAAATAAAAATATATACATACATAAAAAAAACCCAACAGTGGACAATGTATGTCTTGATAGAGAGAGAGAGAGAGAGAGAGAGGGGGGGGTTAACGTCCACTCGACACCGACTAGGTCATTTCGGGACTTACATATGGTTTAATTTTATTTCAATAATTCGCTTGCGCGTAGGGGTCTTTAGCAGTGGGAGAAACCGGAGGACCCGGCGAAAACCCACGAGGTTGAACAGGCAACCCTACTCCTTGTCACGTACAACCGGGGATTCGAAACCACGCCAGTTGACTCAATGACAGGCCTTATGATACAGCGCGCGCACGTGCTAACCACCCCCACCCCCCCTCGTTGATATAAAGAATATACAGATTCGAAACCATTACGAACGTAATAATTTAATGGCAGAATTAAGTAAAATGTTTATACTCCTCCGACGAGTGCACGGCGGAATGGTGCTGAGTTCTTGGTTATATATCTATAGGTGTAAATTTTCTTTGCAATAAATTTGCATCCGAAGTTGTTTGGTTTACAAGAAATAATAATACTAAAATATTCTGAGTGATAATTTGATACAAATGATTGTAAAGATAACTACTTACAATTTTATGAAGTTGTAATTGTCCTCCTGTGTTTTTCCCTCTGGTAGGGGATACTCGCCCCATCCTCTCGATAAACCTTCTGGATTTCTTAATAAATAATACTAATTAATAACTTCATAATACATAAATTACATATATCATAATTAATGTTATAATTATACATCTTATGGGAAAGTCGAGAAAGGACACAAATTGGCTCGACATTCAAAGTATGAAAGAATAATGTTTTTTGTGTACGTGTATGTGTTAGCGTGCGATGCTCTGGGATCTTTTTGAACTTCTGCATGAAGAATTTATAACTTGACATATACATTATTATATGCGACATCATTATTATACAAGTTAACCAATACATTGATAACTTATACAAATTAAAGAATAAGACAAGAAAGAGCAGATATTGGATTGATACTTCAGCCTTGAAACGCCTAATATATATATATATATATTTGTTTTTCTCAAAGTGTAATGCAGCATTGCATACCTTGTATACTTCGTTGTATTTTGAATAAATTTATCCTTTTAAGCATCGTTAAAAGACAAAACCACACTTGTTAAGGGAATTTCAAAAATTATGGACTTAGACTTCTTTAGTTCAAAAGTATGTTTTTGAGACAGCTAAAATCTCATGATCATTTTTACCATCCAAGATCAGATTTGGATTGTCGCATTAATTTAATGATGTTTTGAAAACAAAATATAACGGGCCTAAAACATTTTTGTCTCACCACCCGGAATTGTGGACTAGATCTATCCGCCACTACCTTAATATACTCCACTCTCAGACCTACTTGTAAGTCTTCAATTAAACGCAAACAATATAAAATCCACGAGTCATATTATTTTGTAACATCTGTAAACCTACCCTACAAACGGAATATTTAAACTCAAGAATAATGATGCCATCAGATGTAGATGTGTCTCTTAGCTTTAAACCATAGCTACCTCTGACGTCATAATAGACCGGGATGAAGACATTGGGTGTTTTCGCCAATATTTAATTTTATGTCAACTTCACAATTGTTAGTATAAATATAGTATTTACTTGAAAATTATCACAATTTTCATCTGGCCCTAAATCGAGTTAGTGCAAACATTTTGCTTGGAACTCTCTGGATTTGTGATCCAGGACCCTGTTTCTCGAAATCTTAACTAAAGATAAAATCCAAATTTTAGTAGATACTTCAATTTTGATTGGCTAAGCACTAAAATCAATCTAATATTATCCAATCAAATTACTAAAATTTGGATTTTATCTTAGTTAAAATTTCGTGAAACAGGCCCCTGGTGTTATAAGCCTTCTAAAAATATATAGTTTGTTTATTAGGGAGTACCATGTAGCGGAATTGTGTTTCTAAGCAAGCTAGAAATTTCGGCTGCAGGCCTATAATAAAGCGTGTTTGATTTACCCTTTTTATTAATGAGTTGATAGTGGGGTCTGTCAATGTTCGGAAAATTTGGTGGACACTTTCTGAAATCCCTCAGATCACAGTTTTTGAATGCTTTAGCCTTCTTAAAATTTATCACAAAATTGTTTGAGGAAATAAGATGTGTAGAACTATAGGGTCTACGACCTAAAGAATAAATGTTAGCTTAGCCTTACATAGTGAAGTGGAGCTAAGGAAAAACCACCCGAATCCATTTTAACTTAACGTGTTTTTCTTGACGTAACATTACGCTGTGCGCAAGTTTTATTACACCCCGAACGTCCAACAAATCAGCTAAACAAAAACATGTTAATAGCATGCACAGTCAAAAATGCGTTTACAGCTTTGACTCTTGTTTCTACTTTTCAAACTTATTCAATAATATATGTATAAGTATATGTAAAATATTTTATCATCCAATAATACATTTTATTTTATTATCAGTAGTGGAATACCGCGTTTTATCAGTGAAATAAAAGTGTTATTCCACTGGCTAGCAGTAGTCCATGTTGTTTTTACCTAAAATGATTGTAAAATCATAAAATAAATAGAACATTTGTCGTTTTGTCGTGAATAACATATTTCATTTCATCTCTAAGCAAGAAAACGTTTATATTTTCACTCATGCTACGCATTCGTGAAAATATAAGTTTTCTTGCTTCTCGATGAAATAAAATATGTTATTCACTCTAAAACGACAAATATCCTCTATCTACAGTAGATATCGCTTTACATGGATTTGATTGGTCAGTTAAAAAGGGACTACTTTTTTGTATTTTCAAAGAACAGCTCATTTTTTTTTATTAAAAGTAACTTCTTTTTAAAAAAAAAATGAACTATTTTTATTTAATTGATCTTGATGGAAACATTGGGTCAATATAAAGGACTTTGCAATGGTTGACCTGCTATCAAAAAATGATGTATCACTACGCCGTTATGTAATCAGGTTCAGTAAAAGTGAAGTCTATAGCAAAGAATTATATTTATTTATTTGTGCATGTAAGAAGGATTGGGTGATAAATAAAATCTCCTACTCGTCTTTTTTGATATCAAAAACCTCGGCAGATATCAAAAAAGACTCGTAGGAGATTCTCTATTATGTCCAGTAGAACTAAACAAAATATTGAGCTGCTCATGACGTACAGGGGCAGACTGCTGTTCTGGGCCCTCGGGACGACTGGTTTCCTTGGGCTCCCGTCGCTTTGCAGAATGGGTCACATGGGGAGAAAACGAAACTAGCCTGATGCACCTCTGAGCACCCTACTCATCATGGATCATTGGGCCGTTTTTAAGTGGATGGTCATGGGAAGATAAATTTTGTTTATTTTGAAGAACCTATTTGTCAATTTTTTTTCAACCGGGACTATATAATGGGCGCCTGACCCCTCTTTGCCCTCATACCGCGTCCAATGGCCCTATAATGCCCAGTTCGCCCCTGGCTGCGGATCATTTTTTCGAACTTTGAAATAATTGTATTGTTAAACATCATAATTTGTATAAGATTTTCACAATCAGTCTCACTGGTACCAAATTCATATTGAGTTGGGTAGCGTGCCAAACGGACTTCATATTTTGTGGGAAGAGGGGGTTGGCGGTCCACCATCGGAGCAACTTATTGAGCGAGCTGAGGGAGGAAGGGGGCTACAAAATATTTTACAACATATTGGCCCTTTTTTAATAAATTCTGAATTCGTGCAACAAAGTGGTTAAAGGGGAATAACTCTAAAAAGCCAACCACAGCACGATTGGAATTGTTTTCCATCTACACCGCTTTGCCATTCAAGGCCATGTGAAAAACTTTTCATTATTTGTCAACAGTAAACTTAATACAGTGACCATGGCAGGCCCTTTAATTAAAAAGGGTTTGAATTATGTCACTAGTAAAGACTTTCGCACGTATCTTTGCAGGTATGTATATATATTACTGGAATAAGAATTATGTGTTATCTATACTATCACTATGACTATGGTCGGATAGGCTTGTTCTTCTGCTCTGGACTGACACTTAGTAAGTTACTTTAGAAGAATTCGTTACTAAAGTAACTAGACTGACACCCAGACTAGACGTAGAGACTAATTAAAAGAAGAGATGCTATAAGCCTACCGATAGATTACAGCTTGTGATTGTGTTGTCTCTTTTAGGCTATTCAGGAAGCCTGACTACATGTATCTGTTACCTATAAATACCATAATGAAGGCTATTTTGATGGTTGACGGCCAGGGGGGGAATTAGTTCAGCTCTGAAGTCGGTCTCATTACAGTTACACCCACCCTGTACGTTCAAAAACCGTCATATTGAATTCTTGTCGAAAATAAAATCGGCCCAGTCAATTTTACTGGGCAACTTTTTACTGCTAAACAGTCGTGTGTCAGTCTCTGTGAACGCCTGAACAATGTACAGGTACAGGAACATTTTAGTGAGAAAATAAGACCTTGTTTACCTCGCTAGCGTCAGTATGTGCAACACAACATGCTGTTAAAAATACATCCCCATCTGTTAAATAACTTGGCAAACGGCATTGAAATTTAAATCTAGGGTAGCGCACAAATTTACATAACTTGGCCATACAAGATGAAACAAAATTTAGGTAAGTCTGCTGGAAAAAAATTGAAATCTTTGAAACGTTGAGAATCTTCAGTCATTTATTGCTTTGCCTAGCCCAATTACAAAAACTTAAAATCAAATTTTTTCAGAAATCCCAATTTTGTTTCACCTGCTTACCTAAATTTCGTTTTGTCTTATATATATGGCCGAGTTATTATATCTTTTCCTTGCTACATCTAGGTCCAGACTGGAAAATTTCAAGGAACTTTCTCAACAAACAGTGAGCGCTTGGAAAAACAGATGATATGACAGCTACCGTACATGAGTTTGTAATAAAAGACAGTTTTGTTCTGTAAATAGATACCCAGTTGATCTGAAAACCAGGCCATTCTGTTGATTTTGTTTTGACCCAAGAAACAATACAAATGTAGCCTAAATTTATGACAACTGTATTAACAAAATTAATTTTTCTTCTCTTTTTGCATGAAATGGTTACCATCAACAGTACTGTGAGTATTCAGCCAGTTTTTCCAGAATTTAACTTTATGTTTGAAGTTTATTTACAGCAATTCTTCAAAATTTTATTTTGTATTTGATCGCCATATTATGTAGCTTAAATAAATTTATGGTAATAATTAAGTTAGGGTATTTTTAATATAAAGCCATCTCATATTTTTTTGTGTGTAATATTAAATATTAATTTTTTGCAGCACTTTTGGGGTCCAGGTAAGAGGATTTTATTTTTTTATTCAATAATCTATGGGCTAAGATATTCAGATTCAATATTCAATAGATAACAAATTGTAATGTTTATTAATTCATATAAAATTTACCTGAATGAAAATATTAAATTTACAATAGATGTTGTAATTCATTCATTTTAAATCCAATGTGGTTTGATAAAATCTTAGGGTGTTGGATGGCCAAATGTTTAGCATGAGCGCTCAGTATCATAAGGTCTGTCATTGAGTCAACTGGTGTGGTTTTGATTCCCCGGTTGTACGTGTCAAGGAGTAAGGTCGCCTGTCCAAGCTCATGGGTTTTCTTGGTTTCTTCTGTTTCCTCCCACTGCTATAAAGACCCCTACGCGCAAGCGAATTATTGAAATAAAGTTGAACCCTGTGTTAGTCTCGAAATGACTTAGTTTGTGTTGAGTGGACGTTAAACCCCATTTCTCTCTCTCTATCTATATAAAATCTTAGCTTTATAGTAATGTTGTTTGTATTATGACTATAGTAATGCACTGAACATCAAGATAACTTAGAGAAAAAATAATGTGTGATTTCCCATTTCAACCCAAAATTATTTTCTATTTTATAATTAAATTTTAGTTGCTAACTGGGGGCTTCCATTGGCTGCCTTAGGGGACTTAAAAAAAGATCCTGAAATCATCAGTGGTAAAATGACTTTAGGTACGTACAGTAAGATACTACATGATACTACATTAATTATCATATCAAAATATACTGAGTTTGTAACATTAAATTAATGATATGAATTTGTATTTAACTGTGTCAGTTTTGTTATGTTTCCAATTGCTAAATGCCACTAAAGGATTATGTGTTTATTTTAGATTGTCATATATTTTCGTTTTCAGCCCTGACAATTTACTCCTGTATGTTTATGAGATTTGCATGGAAAGTACAACCTAGAAACCTGCTACTCTTTGCCTGTCATTTTACTAATGTTACAGCTCAGACTTCTCAAGGTGGACGCTTTATAAACTATCAGTGAGTACAAAGGGTTAATATTAACTTATATTTAACAAGTTACCTGACTTTACATACTTGATGGAGAGTGATAAAACTGAGAATTTTATTTCATTACATCAGTATATTGACAAAGTTTAATGATGAGAATTTTCTGCTGAAGCAGTGGACACACTAGCCGAATCAATCCGTGCAGAATAAGATTCGGTTGAATGAGTGGACACACTTGGCGAATCCTTCGCCCAATTCAACAGTCGATTGTATCACCTTTCACGTCACATGATTAAACATGGCTGCGACCATGTCTTTCAAACAATTACAAGTCTTCTCCATATGAGCGGTGAATGTCTAATGAATTCTACAATCGGGCGAAACATTCGACCGAATGTCAGTGGACATACTAGGCTAATTTTAGCACCGATTGATTTGACCGAATCATTCGGCTACTGTCTAGTGTTTCCACCGCGTTAGGCTAAATAAAGCAATTTGATTGTTCAAGACTTTGGAGCACAAAAACTGCCTCTAATTGAGATAGAATGTTCAAACTTGATATTAATGTTTCATTAGGTGAGTGTCTTGACTGAGTTAGTTTAATGGTTAACAATTTCAGGGATAAACAATTTGATTTGTTGATGTTTTGGGACACAATAACTTTGATTCTAATTGAGGGAGAAGGCTGGAACATAGGGAATAGTTTCACTTGAACAAAACCTTGCCAAAGTTCAGTCATAAGCATTTTCTGCTTAGGCTAAATAAAGATAAGCTTAACACTTCACAGAAAGATAAATATACAAATAATAGATATGCATCATCTATTTATGTTGAGAATGTTGGGATTGAGGTAATAGACATACATCTCACTATTGACTTGTTTGATCTGACAATATGCCTCCCTTAAAGATACATTATGTAAGATTTAGATAAAGAGCTAGCTATTCTTGCTATAATAGTTCAAAAATAGATAATTCAAAATTGATATTTTAAAAATTTCATTCAAATTACTCTATTGCGAGTGAAGATATTAGCCTTTGAAGGTTTGACAAGACGTGTGCAATAAGTTCAACCACTGTCCTGGTTGTTCGAAGCTAAGGTCTCGCTCCTCCATTTTTAGCTTAAATCAAAATATGGCTGAACTGTTCTAATCTATTTAATATCAGAGAAATCTGATGCCATCGAGAGTTGATTATGGCCTGAATAAGTTAATTAATGTCTAATTAATAATTTAGAAAACATTTCAGGCTTAAAGAAAGACCTGCAATAAGCCGATTTAGCTCTTGCATAATGTATTTTTAATGTCTAGGAATTAGACTCTATTACTAGAATATCCTGGGTTCCTACTGAGAAGAATCTCAGATGTCAGTTGTAGTCCTGGTTGAACTGGTAGTAAAGCTAGTAGGAATTTAAGGGGGTGGATGGCCGAATGGTTAGCATGTGTGCGTTGTATCATAAGGTCTGTTATTGAGTCAGCTGGCGTGGTTTTGATTCCCCGGTTGTACATGACAAGGAGCAGGGTTGCTTGTCCAACCTCGTGGGTTTTCTCAGGGTCCCCCCACTGCTAAAGATCCCTATGTGCAAGTGAATAATTGAAATAAAATTGAACCATATGTTAGCCCCGAAATGACCTAGTTTGTGTTGAGTGGATGTTAAACCCCATTTCTCTCTCTTTATAGCTATCTAACATCAGAAGAGGAAAAGAAAAAACACCACATCGAACTGATAGACAAAGTTATACATGAACACCCTGAAAAATATCCAGCTATTAAAGATATTATAGAAAAAGAGAAAGAATTGAAAGAAACAGAAGTCAAAGAATTTGAAGCCCATGCTTATAAATTACCACAAGACAAGCCACATATAAAACCATCTTTATAGATATTTACTGATTTAATTACCAATCGGATTAAAATACAGATCTATATTTCCTTTCGTTTTTTTATACTTTCAATGGCCTACACTACATGAAGATCTGATCGGTTATACTGGAAGGTCGCTTCAGGGATCATACGTGCGGCTTTTGAGCCTATGACGTCAGACATTGATTAATCAATCAGCGTTGATGTTTCGAGTGGTTTACCCACAGTTCCGTGCATTGTAGACTGACTGTTTCAATGGCTAATCCCTCACGCCATCCAGAAGGCGGATTATATAACATCTCCTCCGGATCCTAGTGTAGTAAAGACAAATAAAATGAAATTTTGAACTATAAAAAAAACAAACCGAAATAGGATCTGTGTTTTAATCAGATTGTTTAATTATCAAACATGGCTAATCTTACACATGCAAAGCTGGTTAAACCTGTAATAAGGTGCTGACAATTCTCTTTGAAAGAGAATATAGAGAAGAGGGTTTCTCAGAGATAATTATATTGAAATTATTTAATTAATCATGTTTCCACCAAAATACAATATGGTTGATTTTAGTATATACTGAATATATATATAAATTTAACAAACTGAGTGCATTTAAAATATATTGATTTTGTTAATGTATGGCTTAAAATGAATTTGACTGTGACAGTGGGACCTTAATGACAAACAGATCAATTTTAAAATATATTGAAATATGAATTCTGCCAAGGTAGCTCTACACCTGTGCACAACATGTATTGTTTTTCTTTTAATGAGATAATAGTACAATCTGATTAAGATACAGATCTATATTTCATTTCATTTTTTTTTATACTTTCGATGGCCTACACTACATGAAGATCTGACCGGTTGTGGTCACATCAGGTCATACAAGCGACTTTTGACCCTATGACATCAGGCATTGATTAATCAACCAGCGTTGACGTTTCTATTGCTTTACCCACAGTTCTGTGCACAGTACGCCAAGAACTCGCCATAAAGACCGCTTCGTTGGCTAATCCCTCACATTAACCAAAACATGGCTTATATAACAACTCTTCCAGATCCTAGTGTAGTAAAGACAAGTAAAACGAAATTTTGAACTATAAAAATTAAAACGAAATAGGATCTGTGTTTTATTCAGATTGTTAATAGTATAATGTGAGAACAGGTTGTGTTTATGATTTATTTTATATGGGGCCTGTGTGATTATGATTTAGCAACTGAGGTTTTAAACTAATGATTTTGATAAAAAGAGCAATGTGTTTGTTTGTTTATGTTTATATTACTTTATTTGTTGTTGTTTTACTAACACAATATATACATGTATAAGAACTGGCTTAAAGATACATTATGGGAGATTTTTATAGAGAATTTGCCATTCTTGCTATAACAGTTTAAAAGTAGATGATGAAAGAAGAATATATTGAAAATTTCAGTCAAATTACTTTATTTTGAACATAGTTATCATCGTTGTAATATTTGACTAGAAATGGTAGTGAAATGTGCCTTCACCTTGGCCGATCGTTTGATTGACAGGCGTTAACTCCACCTACATATCTCGATTATCAAGTAAAGTTTTCAATGGCATGCGGAAACACTCTACAGCGGCCTCGCTAAGTACACTCTATCATTTAGCCTCGATCTAACTGACGTATTCTCATCAGGATGCGCCATATTTGAATTAATTAATAAGTGAAATCCTATTTAAATCCGAGCTGTAGCCGAGCCATCAGTGGGTCTACAGAGTTGATTTTGGGCTTGTTGTTTAAATAAAGATCTAATTTATAATTTCTATAACATCTGAAGCCTAAATTAAGACTTGCAATAATCAGATTTTGCTCTTGCATAATGTATGTTTAATCAAAGGCATCACAAACCAAAGTATTCAAAATTCAGATCTACACTAATTTAACATAAAGACTGTTGTTATCAGGGAAGAAAGCACAGTCAGGTATTAATAAACGTTTATAATATAGCTGAATTATTAATACTTTATATATGTAAGACAAGTGAACATGGTAGTGTGAAATAAATAGAAACCTATGTAAATTTCAAATGGCCATAAGCTGAGTTAGAAGTGATCAATTTGAATAATTTTTTAACCAAATTGTTTTTTTAAGAATGAAAAAAAAAAATGCATTTAATTCTTGACATCAGTGTCATATTTTGATATTCAGGAAAACCTAATCATATATAACACATTACTAGTATTTTAAATTCTGTCTTGTTTTACTCTGAATCGTGAATGCACACAAAAGATAAGGATAGGGTTTTTTGTTACACGGTAAATGATTTTTTAGTTGATAGATTTTGTGTGAAATAGAGCATCACATTGTGCATTTGAAAATAGCTGTGTACAATGTTGGGGATTATCAAATTTAATTAGAAACAGTCTGTCATACTATTATATATTCTGGTGCTAGTCAAATATCAGTCAGTATTTACTAGTATATTTGATCTAAATTAAATAACTTTATACTGGTTGTATACCTTAAAACACTATATACTGTTTATTATAGATCTACCTTAAAACACTTTCTTTGACTCTAATAAGTTTTACTGTGAAGCATTTATGTGTATGACTATTTACTAGTTTTTAATACCATTTGTCATTTGAGAAACAAATATTTAAAAGTAATATACAATAAATATAGGCCATATTTTAACATAGATGCCCATGGGGAGACTCTCTAGTTCTTTGCGTATGTATGTTTGGTGAACCAAAGTTGTGTTGACTTGTAAGTTATTTGTATCTAGGAGTTTGTATGAGGCAAATGGGTGTGGAAATTTATTTCTTTTGGAAATTTTGTTGATTTAAGGGTTATTTCCGAGAAGGATAGCTTCTTCTCTTGTAGAAGATAAATGTTAGATTAACCAATTGTTTTAAGATTAATTAAGGCCCTTTGTTGACCTAAAATCAATGAAAATTCTAGTTACTTGAATCATTTTGGGTCAAACCCTTATTGAAGGTTGGTACACTGCTGTATGGTATAGTATAGTATAGTAATGTGGTGGACACACTAGGCAAATCAGTCGCTGACATGTTTAATCATGTGACGTGAAAGGTGATACAATCAACTGGTGAATTGGGCGAAGCAGTATCAGCCTATTATAAATGCATGCATTGTTATATTTGTTTGGGCCCGGTATAGGACATGTATTGCTTCAGCAATGCTCATTTGAAAAGGATTGAACAGCAGGTAAAGGATGTTCAGGCCCCGAGTTCACAAAGCCTTCTCAGACTTAAGTTAAGAAATTTACTCAACTTTCAATCATTGTTTATGAGAAATATCTTTGATCCAGAAACACAAAACTTTGCACATAGATTCTTATACATTAAAACAACAAAGGTTTTTTAAAGGGTTATATTTTAGTTAAAATTAGCCGAACAATTTTGTGTAAATTCTTAACTTAAGTCTGAGAATGCTTTGTGAACTTGGGGCCAGGTTTTTTTCTATGGATACAGAAAAAGAGTAAAAAATATATCTGAAGTATTCATTAGTTGTTAATAATATAATGATACAGTATACATATACATATTTAGTTATATTTATACAAATGAGTGCTCAAATTTGTTGTGTTATTTTTTGTCGTGATTTTATTTTTTTTTTTAGTTTATTTAGTTGTTTCCCTAATAATACCTTCCTGGAATAAATCGTAGATATAGACTTTCAACAACATCAAAAGTCTTGGCTTTATAAACAGAATTTTTTACCTTAATACAAGTATTATGGATTACTGGTATACCGTTTTATCTAGATTATGTTTTTTTTGTAGAACAGGAAACTTGCATTAAGAGATGATTCATTTAGGTGCTTTGTATTTGAAAACCAGAATTCATTATAAATATTAGTTAAAACACCTACATCAATATAATGTGCTCCTTTATTATAAGGTCTTGTAACTGGGACATACTACTAACTAGAAACAGTATTAACCAGAGCTTTGTCACAGTGAACTCCCAGGGTTACTTCAATCTGATTAAAATACAGATCTATATTTCGTTTTTTTTTATACTTTCGATGGCCTACACTGCATGAAGATCGACCAGGTGTACTGGGAGGTCATGTCAGGAGTCATACAAGCGGCTTTTGACCTTATGACGTCAGACATTGATTAATCAGTGTTGATGTTTCTGAGGGTTTACCCACAGTTTTGTGCAGAGCACGCCAAGAACTCACCGTAACGGACTGTTTCATTGGATAATTCCTCACATCATCTAGAACGCCTGTTATATAACAACTCTTCCAGATCCTAATTTCTGAAGACAAGTAAAACGAAATTTTGAATTATGAAAAAACGAAACAAAATAGGATCTGTGTTTTAATCAGATTGATTCAAACTTATTCTTGCCAGTATGAAAGACTTAGTTGTATTTATTATTGATGTGTATGTCACGATAATCAATTGATAGATTTTTAATAACAGGATAATAAATGAAATGAAATGGGGTTTAACATCCTACTAGTGTTCTGCTCCGACTAGAATAATAAAGACAATATGTAGTAGAAATACAGATTAATATGTTTGTAACTAATAACAAGTGTTTTAGTTTTAAATAAAGAATAACTTATATAATAAATGTGACAATGGTTATTAATAGGGTATGGATTACGGATGATATCTATTTATTCAGTTTATCGCACAAATAATTTGGAGATATTATGAGTTAATAATAATGGCTATGTTTAATTTTATTTTATTTATGAAATAATAGAAATATAGATTTTTTATTTTAATTGAATGATTTATATGTGTTAGATTTACCAACATTCATGTATATTTAGACCAGAAACTGTTAATAAAGTTTGAAATTTGATGACTTGCAGATTTCTCGAATTATTTACATGTTACAATAATGTTATAGAATTGTGTTTATATCATCAAATTGTCTTGAGCTATATTTGTATAAACATTATTAAGCTGACTGACTTAACTCCAAATCTGTAAATTTTTAGAAACAAATCTTGTCCTCAGAGCCACATGACTTGTTTTTATTTCAAAACAGTCTTATTAATTACTACACGTAAATCTTTTCCCAGGGTTACAGGAAGTAACTGTATACAAAAATTTAAAAGAATCTGAAAATGTACAATAGGCTCAATTATCAAGTACATAACCCCGATAAGTGTTATTAACAACCATAAATGGTAATGGATAATCATACAATCAAGAATCAACAAAATGATGAGATAAATGTGTGCCTTGAAACGTGATACTTATTATAAATCATTTAGTCCAGTAGCGATAAAATACAAAATCAAAAACCTCCCCCCTGCATCAGTTTTTTGGGGAAGGATTGTCTTTGAACCAGAATATGTTTTTATATGGCCTAATAAACTTCCTACAAATATTTTACTTATTCAGAGCTAATGTATAATTATTGCCCTAGCTTATTTTATAGAATCAACAAAAGTTATTATCCGCTCTGTCAGGAATTTATGTTTAGATGAGGGAACCTTGAGCACCTATCAGAATTCAGCAATCTAATCTAATTTCTTCTTGAGTTAAATTGCCCCTCCTCACTTAGTAGAATCTTGTTAATGTTCTGGCTACCAAAGTTATCAGCCCATGTCATTGAAAGTTATTTGCAGATTAGTAAGACAACAAAGCATGTGGAATTTTAATATATTTCATGAATTATTTTTGGTTACTTTGAATAGACCGTAGAATCTTGTGATCACTCTATCAATATATTAGCATGAGTTATATACAAACAGGTTATTGGCCTTGCTCATATATAATTTTGTGTAACAACAGTATTCCAGATAGCTAAATGAACTCCAGAAATGAGAAGTGGTATTTGGTGTTCTAGAAAGAGTAAGTGTACCCAAGCTAATGCATTTTACTACTTAAATAACAAACCTAAATAAAAGAAAACCTTGGGGCTAAAGACCAACAGCTGCGTCTCCTCCATGATCTACTTTATACTTTATATTATTTGTTTCAACTGTTGCTACACAATTTCTGATCATTACTTCTGGAGTTATTACCGTAAAATATGTTGTAGAATGTGATGTTTTTTAAGATAAGGATTTTGCATTTTAATTAATAAAAATCGTAATTAACAACATATATGGATTGCTCAAATGACCATCTACTGTGGGTGTATGATTGATTACTTGGCAACCAACTTTACTTGAGTTTCTTTTAGACCAAATACAAATTTTAGCAATAGGGCTGATTGAAAATACGCATTATTATTATTATTATTATTGTTATTACAGCATATTTATAGTGCGCCCTTTCATATAACATGTTCAGGGGCACTTTACAAAGTGACAATGTTATCATAAATAAACAACAAGATGATGGACATGTTAACAAATGCATCCCGAGTCAGTTAAAAGCCTGATTTTTTTTTTTTGACACTGCTAATTTGTAAGAACTAAAGACACTATTAGATTCTTGATAATGATTGAATTGAAATATATAGATATAGCCTATAAAATAGTATATGAAATGGAGTTTGATGTCGAAGGATTATGCTGGTGGAAGAAAATATTTGGGTTCTATTTAAGTGTTCACCGTATTATTTTAACCCAGAGTTATGTCCCCTATAATAGCTCTTCAGCTGTTTCCACAGCAACGAGAGAAATGCCATCATGGCTGACAAATTTCAGAAAAAATATGTTTATTTGACTTTTTCCTAAAATGCATACTTAAAGAAATAAATATTTAGTATTAAAACCCATGAGATGAATGGGAATTGATTAGGAAAAATTAATTACAATATCAATGTTATTTATCAACAGTGCGTGTTGGCGAAAACTCATCGTCAGGCTTCACTGACTCAGTGACTGCTGTCGAGTGAAGTCTGTTCACCCGTTTCCTTTACTTGTAGCAGTCATAGGAACAGTGACAATTTAGTCATTCCCCTGCTTGTCCCTTTAATTTGGAAACCGAACAGGTAATGTTTAAATTAGTGTTGTTTTAGTCAATGACAATATTCAATCACATTGAAACTTGATGTTTCAAATTCATGAGCTGGCCAGTCTGATCAGAAAGTTGTAATAATACTGCTACGTCTTTAATACCCAGAAGAAGCACCACCCAATCCTGCCCCTTCCGTTTTGGAATTAAAATACAACAGTGTCTTTGAAATGCATAAAAATAAAGTGTTTTTGCTTTAATTTGCAGTCTTGAAGTCTTGGTAAAGAAGGAAGAAGTATAACTGCAGGTTAACTTGGTGTTCAATAATTACTCGAGTTCAAGATGGCTTACAAATTTGTGGGCAGTAGACAGCTGAAGTGTCTATTGAATGATGCTGAGCAAAAACAGAAAAAGGACATTTTTGATTACACAGGGGGTCACTTAAATGCAGCAAGTCTTAAACAACCTGCTGAGATCTTAGCCCAGCAAAGAGGATGGAAGACATCGGCATTAGAACCGGATGTTACGGCATCTATAGAATCAGAAAGAAGCCCAAATAAAAGATTTCAATCTAAAAGACAGGATATGAGTGAAGTTTTATATCAGTTTAGTGTAGGTACAACTGGTAGTGTTCCAAATATAAAGCGTAAAAGCACAGCCCCTCAAAAACTTCTGTACCTTAGGGATATAAACTCTAAAAACTCTGCTTCTAAAGATGGGAAAAAAGGTTACATTGAAGATTCTGTGTTCATTGAGGAACTGGATAATCAAGAATTGTATATGCCATCTGCTAGAAGTTATACTTCTGTTGATGGTGTTGAGGATATCCAGGAGGATAAAAGTCCAACTAAAACTTTCCAGCCTACGAACCATCATGACAAGCCACCATTTAGAAACAACTTTTTACCTGTTCAGACAGCTGGTATAACAAAACAAGATCAGTATAGATCGTCTAAAATGTTTGAATCTAATATTATTAATAAGAAGGCTTCTTTAGAACAGAAGGTCCTGTCTGGTAATCAAGCTGTTGTGCATCATGAAAATAATTTAAAACAGGTAATATAACAAAGATTTTGTGTTAACGGTGGAATATAATATTAAGTTTCATAATATTGTATAGCCCACAGATAATATGTCCAATAGTTGGTGAATCCTTATGAGGTCCTACTTGAGTCGAGGCCTATGGGGGTTTTGTCTTGGGATCAAATGATGACTTCAGCATTTATTGCGATCCTGTTAAGAATTGCTTGATGTGGGGAGGGTTGGGTGGCTGAATGGTTAACGCGAGCGCATTTGATCATAAGGTCTGTCATTGAGTCAAGTGGCGTGGTTTCGATTCCCTGCTTGTACGTGACAAGGAGTAGGGTCGCCTGTCCAACCTCATGGGTTCTCTCCAGGTCCCCCGGTTTCCTCCCACTACTTCAAGCAGTAGCTGCTAAGTAAGAATTTTCTTTGTGCATATTGTAACTTAATTATCCCACCATATATGTGATAATGATTGCAGTCAAGCCCAAATGATACACATTTACCATCTAGTCCCAAAAGGACTTAGTTATATGAACATTAACTCCCGTTTCTCTCAAACATTAAACAAGTATTTGCTATAAGTATGTCTGTCTTACTATTGTAGGGATTATCAACAATGAAATTTAGAGGTCATGGTCCTAATTTCCATAGGCTACAGGTATACAGTAATGTATTTGAAGATATTGTTGATGAGAGTCCTATATTCCAACACATTTTACGAAATGTTAAGGTAGGCAAATTGGAATTTTTTTTATGTCAGTCTTTGTCAAGGAAAATGATTGAAAAATGACAGTAAACTGAGTGATGGAGAAACACTGTGGTAAAGAAATTTCACATAACTGTGAACATCCTATGTCAATAGGAAGTGGTATCAGGTGGCCTGGTAAGCATATTACACCTGTTCTAAAACCATTACATTGGCCACCGGTTAATCAACGCATCATTTTCAAAATAAATACAATCACTTTTGAGTTCAACTGTTTAAATGATCCTTTGGCACCATCCTATGTACATTCTCGTTCCTTAAGTTCATCTCATAAAAACCAACTTAACACATGTATATGTCCAGTACAGAAGTCAAAATTTGGTGAGAGAGCTTTTGCATACGCAGCACAAAAAGAATGGAACAAATTGCCTCTGGAAGTCCAAAATAGTCCAAACTTGGCTATATTTAAACGACATCTAAAAACTCTGTTTTTTTACCCACACGTTTGAACTATAATTTAAATGCTTCACTTTCCATTTGTATATTGTAACTTGAGTATTCCTTTGTATTCTTTTGTTTATTTGTATATACATGTATGTTTTTTATTATAATCATATTTACATTGTAAAGCGCCACAGAGCAGTCAGACTGACTGAATGTTCAGCGCTATAGGAAAAAATTCTGTTTATTATTATATGTTGCCTCTACTTCTACCCTACTGGTGTAAATTGTAACGAAAAGAATAAGAATAAGGAATTTAATATGGAGCTGTTTCAATTTGCAGTTAACTCAGTTTAATAAGTATGCCTTTAAGCTAATCAAGGGAGTCACTGTGGTTCAGTGAGTTGGATGCTGACTCGCTAAACAGGAGGTCCTGGGTTTGATCTGGGTATTTGCCAAGAAAGTTCCCTGGAATGTGGTTTTCCCTTGTCAGTGGTGTACGTTGGAGGGCCTGGCAAAGAACATTGTTTAGTCATTTGGATGGGACCAAAAACCGAGGTCCTGTGTACACATTTGCATGTACATTAAAGAACCCTTGACTATTGGAATTCAAAATACTGGCAGGCTGCGGTGCAGCTGCCAGGGCAAAATTTCCTGCATAGCACACTGCCTGTTTATATTTCCTCAATTGTTGCAGAAAAGTAGGATGTTAAAGGGACAATAACACTCTTGCTGGCTTGACAGCTCCAGAAAATAAAAAATAGCCTTATTCTAAGTATCTAAGTACTATATGTGTTAGTGTCCTACCTGTTGTGTAAATTATCCATTTAATCCTATTTTACTTGTCCAGAGGGTTCAAAAATATTTTTAAATCCAAGTCAAATTTGAAAAGCTTTACGTCAGGCTTTTTAAAATCATTTAGTTGAATTTATCCAATTTTTTAAATTAGGTGTGTTAAGATGAAATTTGTATCATCAATTAATTGGAATACTGTAAAATAGTACAATTTGTTGACCAGAATACAGATTGGGACATATTATTCCGTTACAACAAGAGTGGTATTGAGCCTTTAAACCCTGTTTTCATTTTTTTTATTTAAACTAAACATTTCTGTTTATTTTGTCATCATTATTTACTTGTCCAGAGGTTTCGAAAATATTTTTAAATCGAAGTTTCATTTGAAAAGGTTTACGTTAGACATTTCAAACCATTATGTTGAATTTTTAAAAAATTTTAAATAAGGTGTGTTAAGATGAAATTTGTATCATCAATTAATTGAAATATTCTAAAATAGTACAATTTGTTGACCAGAATAAAGATTGGGACATATTATTCAGTTACAACAAGAGTGGTATTGAGCCTTTAAAGATTTTTTTTTTTTTTTTTTTCAGACAGCGTATGATGCATATATCAGTAAATTGTTAGACACCCAGACAGCTAAACATCAATTATTACATGATCAAATAGAACAGATGACAGAAAGTGGAACATCAAAACCCAAACAATTACAACAAATTAAAAATAATGTCGATGATATGGAATTGGAAGGAAAATGGTTACTGGAAGAAAATGACCGGTAAATAAATCTATTAAATGAAATAATTGTGATAATTGAAAAAGCTTATGATCAGAATTAAGTGGGTCACAGGATATTGTTAAGTATGAGTGGATTTACGTGACAGCTTTGTGTATTAAACGTTAAAGACCACACTTTACGAAAGTTGTTGTCGTCCTCTACTGCTGTTGTTTATTAATACAGAACTTAACAATTGAATAAATCCTGTAATATTTATATTTTTTAGATTACGGGAAGCTTTAAGAGAAGAAGGTGACTTATTTTCATTAGCACCAGAACAAGGTAAGCCACTAATTGAAACCTCTGTACAATATTGGACAAAAAATTGATAAATTGCCTATTCATCGCCATATCAAAACTTGCATGACGTCTAAATCTATTTGTTAAGGCCAGCTCAATTTTTATCAAGGTCGCTGAGATGGAAATAAGGTTAGGGTTAGGGTAAGCATTGGGGCTAGATCCAGGGTCAGGATTAGGGTTGGGATTAGTGCTAGCCCTGTTTACATCTTGTGACCTATGACGAAAAATTGAGCTGGCCTTATCATTTAATTGTGGTGATTTTGTTTTTCAGAACTTCTTCCCAAGAAGATGAGTGTATTTAAGGATGACATACCTGCTGAATTAACAGAAGAATTAGAACATTATAAAGCTTTAATATTAGAGAAATTAGATGCTTTGAAGAGTTTAAGAACTGCATTACGTGATGATCATGTACCATTGACTGTGTGTACACATTTAGAACAATGTATTAAGGAAACAGAGGTAATAATAATAATAATAATAATGATAATATAATAATAATAATAATAGTAATAACTTTAAGAAGGGTAAAGGATTAGACTGTATAAGCCTTTCTACCATCCTGCCCTTCATGGAAATATAGACCGAGGGGCTGGCAAGGAAAGCTGTCTAGTCGTTCGAATGGGACGAAAAACCGAGGTCCCGTGTACACATTGGCGTGCACGTAAAAGATCCCTTGGCAGTTGGAATTCGATATAAGAGTAGGCCGTAGTGCCGCTGTCCGGGCAAAATTTCCCTCATAGCACACTGTATGGCGTATGCCCGTCTTCATTAGCCCAGGTTAGGAGCAGAACAGTAGGACGTTAAACCCCATTTCATTTCATTTTCATGGAAATATATAATACAAAAGATGATAGCATAACAAGAGAAGGATGAACAAGAGTATAAAATAGATCAGCATGAAATTATAATACAAAAGATGACAGCACCAAAAGAGAGAGATATAATAACACATAATAGAACATAACTTACAATTGAATATTTTATATACATGTGAAACAATATTTTCTTAGATAATTAGAGTGAAACAAGTTATATATTATTACAAATTAATTACTGTGGGGGTGGGGTGGAAACACTCCCTTAAAAGAGTGATTACCCAGTTGTATGTGACAAGGAGTAGGATCACCTGTTCAACCTCGTGGGTTTTTTCCGCCCAGTGCTAAAGACCCCTACGCGAAAGCGAATTATTAAAATATAATTGAACCCGAAATGACCTAGTTTGTGTCAGTGTAGGTTAAACTCTCTCTCTCTCTCTCTCTCTCTCTCTCTCTCTCTCTCTCTCTGTGATTGTTATTACTTGTAATAGGATATCTTTGCATTGATGTTGAACCCATGCATTTTCAAGTGATATAGGGTGTTCCAGAAAGAACATTTCAAATTATTTACAATTTATTTAATCTTGAATATTGTTGATATGTTTCAGATTGAAGTTCAGAAACTATTAAAACAGAATGAATATTTTGAGAAGAGTATTGCGGATATGGAACATGATTTAAAAGAAGCTATAATAGATGCGGATACAAGTGAAAAGGATGCCAGGTGAGGCTGATACCTTTTTATTATCTGAATTTAAAACAAAAAAATACATTTTATCATAATATTACAAAACATCTCTTTAAAACTCTAATGCAGAATCATAATCTTTAAACTCCAATACATTTTGGGAAACACATCGACTCAGTGAGTAAAGTGCTAGCTCATTGACTAGGAGGGTCAGGGGTTAGTCGTAAAAATACCTAAAGAAGTTCGAGCGTTGTTTTCCCTTGTCAGTGATACAGATGGAGGGCCTGTTTTCATTAGCTTGATTGTTGCAGAGGGGGCTATGGTGGCTAAGTGGGTAAGGCACTGGCTGGCTAGCCTGGAGGTTGCGTGATCGATCCCTGCATTGGCGGAGAAAGTGCATCTGGATTTTCCAATGTGGTTTCCCCTTGTCAGTGGTGCAGGACAGAGGGCATGACAAGGACAGCTGTCTAGTCGTTCGGATGGGACGAAAAACTGAGGTCCCGTGTATACATTGGCGTGCATGTAAAAGATCCCTTGGCAGTTGGAATTCGATATAAGAGTAGGATATAGTGCCCCTACCTGGGCTAAATTTCCCTCATAGCACACTGTATGGCGTATGTCTGTCTTCATTAGCTGAGACGGAGCAGAACAGTAGGACGATAAACTCATCTCATTTCATTTCATTTTAAATGAAGACCAATAATTATTCAAATTTCTAGTTCAATATGATGTCTGGATAACAAAATTTAGATAGCTTTACATGAATTTATAGAATTTTAAAATTGCTTGTGTTTTACAGGAGAATATGGAGAAAAATAAATTCAACAAGAGCTCAACCAGGAGAGGATGATGAAGATGAAGGCAAATGGAATTGGTATATTTCATAAATAAATACCATCTTTAACTATGTCTGGCTTACTAAAACTGTGAAATTGTTGAAATTGTACATTAGGAAGTAACACTTCATTGATATTTTGTTAATTAAATTCTTGATCATGTCCTCAGTAATTATTGATCACAGACTCGGTAAAGATACATTATATGAGATAAGATAAAGAGATTGCAGTTCTCGCTATAATAGTTAAAAACTAGATAGTGTAAAGGTAATTTGCTGGAAATTTCAGTCAAATTGATCCACTATGAGTCGAGAAAGAAGCGGGTGAAATTTTTGCATAGTCTCGGTCATCATTACTAAAATCATTAATATAAACAGCATAGTCTCGATTATCCACTTTTTCTGATTTAATTATCAATAGCCGTTAGCGGCATATAGGAATCTAATCCAGCCAACATCGAAAGCTTGCCTTGACATTGAGAGTTTATTATGGTCTGGATAAGTTAATTAATGTATAATTGATAATTTTGATAACATTTCAGAAATATACTTGTAATAAGCAGATTTTGCTCTTGCATAATGCATGTTTAATTATTGATTATATACTGAGTAATGGATCACATACTCATTAATTATTGATTATATACTCAGTAATTATTGATTAAATACTCAGTAATTATTGATTATATACTCGATAATTATTGATCATGTCCTCGGAAATTATTGATTATATACTCGGTAATTATTGATTATATACTCAATAATTATTGATTATATATTCGGTAATGATTGATTAGGTACTCAGTAATTATTGATTATGTACTCAGTAATTATTGATTAGGTATTCAGTAATTATTGATCATGTACTCAGTAATTATTGATCATGTGCATCAAAATATGATGGGTGCATATTGTTGGTATTCAGTTAGCTGTCATTCTGTGAAGATAAAGTATAAAATTTAAGTTTTTCCTTGGTCAGATATTAAAATAAGTTATATTCGTTTAAATACTGTATGGGGAAAGCATGCCAAAATCTTGTTTTTGATTTAATTTTGTTTTTAATATCTGTTCTTTTATTTATTAATTTTTAAGGCAACACAAAGTTAATTGTTAAATGAAATTGTAATATGAGTGTATATGATGGTGTCTATGTTTTTATTACTTAGTCTATATATAAATATTATTTGTTACTATTGTACAATATATACTATTTAATACAAAGGTGTGATTTGTTTTTTTTCATTCACTTGATTGAAGAATAGCTTGTTGTTATGTTAAATTTCACCCTCTGGTACCCACAAATTGTAGTTCGTCTATTTATAGAAATCACTCCTTTCTCTCTCGTTTCTCCCCTTTTGCATGCCCATTTTTGTTGATTTTTTGGTCTAGAATTGAAGAAGAGGGTTTGAATAAACATTTTCTACCAGGCTTTGTTAAATATTCATGATTTTGAGACGGAAGGATAACAGGTTGGTTACAGTGATATGTATGGCAACTAGTTACATGTTTTTTAGTATGCTACTTCAAGGTTGTGTATCTCAAAATTTTGGTGGTCAAACTCATACAAAATTTAGTGTAAAGACATGACCATTTTTCTTTCTGACTGTACTGAAAAGTATTCAGCCCAACGAAAATTTGGGGAAACGTTGAAGCCGGGCCAAGAGACCAGAATTAACATTGAAGTCAATGGGGAAATTAATGGTGGTCTGCATCCTGTATAGCCGAGTTCATTAATTGATTTGCCTCCCCTGTTTTGAGTGATCGTAGTATGGGTTTGTGTAGAAACTAATGCCCATTTCTTTAAATAAAGCAGGATTTTTGCCAATTTGAATAGTAACATTCTGATGAAGTTTGTTAAATAACGGTATCAATTAATATTTCAATATTCTTAATGATCTTTGTGATGTCGCAACCCGTGAATTTAATAATAGGGGGTTTACACAACTTCCCATCAGTAAAGAATGTTAATAATATCCCATTGGTGAAATCATGTTTATGAGAACCACAATACCTTACAGATATAGCATTAACTGTACAGTAGTTTATGAGGAATCATGTTTAGGGCTATTTCATGCAATTTAGCACATTGATATAACTCGCCCATTTGAGGGCCAGATTAGCCTTGCACTCGCCCATTTGAGGGCCAGATTAGTCTTCCAGGGGGCCCATGGCTGGCTGAAAATGTCTCTAGGGCTCTTACATTAATAGTGAAAAGGGGGCATATTCTGGTTACAATGCATATTGTATGTATGGTAGACAGATTTATGTGGCACAAACAAATACAACATATAAATAAACAAAATTATAAATAAAACTAATTTGGGGGCCGTTTTGATATTGAGGGCCTTGGCCTCAGCCCCCTTAAATCCGACATTATCCACCCCAAACCCATTTAATTTAGTATAAATGTGATCACAATTATCTATGTTTTATGGTTTGGTTTAAACAGTATTTTATTCAGAAGAACATTAGTATTTACAATTGATCATTTAAAGGCTCAATACCATTCTTGTTGTAACTGAATAATATGTCCCAATCTTTATTCTGGTCAACAAATTGTACTATTTTAGAATATTTCAATTAATTGATGACACAAATTTCATCTTAACACACCTTATTTAAAAATTTTGAAAAATTCAACATAATGGTTTGAAACTTCTAACGTAAACCTTTTCAAATGAAACTTCGATTTAAAAATATTTTCGAACCCTCTGGACAAGTAAAATAGGATGTAATGGATAATTTACACAACAGGTAGGACACTTAAACATCTAGTACTTAGATAGAGATATTATTTATTTTCTGGAGCTTTCAAGCCAGCAAGAGTGTTATTGTCCCTTTAAGAGAATATAAGTGAATATGATGCAGTAACAAGCAAACCTGCTCATAATAAAACTGTTTCCATAATTATGATCATTACATATATGATCACATATATATAAATACCTGTAAAATATTGTATGATTTAAACCAAAGTTATGGATAAAATATGTAAATTTAAAGTAGCTAAGTCTCTAACTCAATATCATCCAAAGTCTTCCACATCGAAAACACGACTTATTGGTCAATTTAAATCAACATTGATGTTGTGATCTTACCGGGAAAAGATGGGCTTTTGATATCCAATATTTAAGACGAAATATACATTTTATCATTGGTACATTAATCGTGTACCATAATGCGTTTCAGCGCCATTTGTAACAAGGGACTCGAAGAACGAGGCTAGACATTTCACAAGTCATGTCAAACAGTGACGTCATATTCTTACCTGGAGAGCATGCGCAAAAAATACTACCGGTGTAGACTGAAATAACCCGATGCTAGAGAAATGAAATGAAATGAAATGGGGTTTAACGTCCTACTGTTCTGCTCCTAACCTGGGCCCGATTCCTAGAAAATTCTTAAGCACGTTCTTGTGCTTAGATTTAACTAGACTGCATTTAAGTAAACTTACCTTATTTTGTGTTCCCAGAAAATTCTTAAGCACGTTCTTGTGCTTAGATTTAACTAGACTGCATTTCAGTAAACTTACCTTATTTTGTGTTCCCAGAAAATTCTTAAGAACGTTCTTGTGCTAAGATTTTAAGTAGACTTCATTGTAAGCACAAGAACGTTATTATGCGTTCCAAGAAAAAACTTAAGCACAACTTCGTTCTTAAACATAGTCAATCTAAGCACAAGTCCCAAGCAAGGTATACGGCTTGCTTACCGAGCTTAAGTCTGTTTCTGCTTCAAAAAGATGGCTGACCGCAGAGTTTTTCGACGGCATTTCCGACACCTTTTGATACCAAACAGACAATTACAAGACAGAGAAAATCCTTCTCCAGAAGAAATTAAGAATGCTAGGCTATAGAAAATTTCGCTTCTACCCTGAAACCATTTTATTTATTTTTCAATTAGTAAACAATAGGCTACAAACACACAGGCTACTTTAAGATCAGGCGCTCTCACAATTTTTCATTTAGTTTGTATATGTCTGCGTTTTTTTTTTTTTTATCTTGTGGCACATTTTATATGTGTATAGGGGACATGTCAAATGCATCTAAATCAACCATATATTAATGACGTCAATGAAGCAGACGATAAATTTATGACGTAATTCGCATACCAAAGTTGTTTTTATGACGTTAAAGAGCATCGTAGTCTCAGTTTATGGTAAACTTTACCAGTCACAATGTGCTTAGACTTATACTTGACTTGTGCTTACGTAAGAATGGTCTTAAGAATTTTCTAGGGACGGTATTTTTATAAGTTTCTTACGTAAGAAAAGGTGAAGCATGACTTTGTGCTTACTTTAAGAATTTTCTAGGAACCGGGCCCAGGGCTATGAAGACGGGCATACGCCATACAGTGTGCTACGAGGGAAATTTGGCCGGGCAGCGGCACTATCGCCTACTCTTATATCGAATTCCAACTGCCAAGGGATCTTTTACGTGCATTCCAATGTATACACGGGACCTCGGTTTTTCGTATCATCCGAAGGACTAGACAGCTGTCCTTGCCAGGCCCTCCGTCCTGCATCACTGACAAGGGGAAACCACGCCGGAAAATCTGGATGAACTTTCTCGGCCAATGCAGGGATCGAACACCCGACCATCAGGCTAGCGAGCCAGCGTCTTACCCACTTAGCCACGTGATCCCCCCGATACTAGAGATTCAGACTTCGCCAAACATAAATGATTAGAAATTACAGTAAAAACATAAACGATTGAATGTAAATCAGTTTACATACATACATAATTATATGCGTTGCGACCCATTTGAGTCAAGTTCTTGGTCCCAAATATTAGCAATTTAGCTCCTTTAAAGCTGGAAGCAAGGGAGATGTAATGATTATATTTATAAGTGTAACATAATATCATTTCCTGGTTCCATCTTTGAATTAACCATCAGTTACCAATATCCGGAAGGTCTGAGTTTAATGTATAACCTGTTTGAAGCCTTATTAAAAATACACATTGATCATTGATTTGATATAATAATAATTCTATATTTCTGTATATGTAAATTGGCTGAGATACAAGTATATCACGATCGTTTAAAAAACTCTGAATAGATAGATCTATGTTTAAAAGAGTTTTTGTTTTGTATTTTTCGAGTCTACGTCCAAAGTGTCGATTGTGATTTGTCTTAGGGTCAAATACAAAGAACACTTGAAAAGAAGTGATCACAATTTTCAGATATTTTCCCACAAGAGCAGTAAGGGTGGTTACTTATGTGCATTGGTTTATCATTTATTTAAAACATGTTGTACGCGTCTAGGTTGAATCCTTATGACGTCACGGATTGCGAGTGGAACTTATAGGAGGTCACCAAGCATCAACTGGAGAAGATTCCTACCAAGTTTGATGACCGTATCACTAGTACTTACTGAGATATTGACAATACTTGTAACTTTACCCCATTTTTTCACGATTGCTGGGGGTCAGATTTTCAAAGTGCTGTAAAAAATTTTCCCCAAGCGGGAAAACGTGGGATGATGTCCTAGTCATATACTTTCAGAAAAAAGAAGAATCATTTCTTCCCTAATTTTTTCCCCAGGTTGGGGGAAAATGTAATTCTCCCACCAGGCTATTATAAATATCCTGAGACGAGGCACTGATTCAGTTTAATTCTTTTAATGACATCTAGAAGCACGGTTAACTATTCATATTTCAGTTTGGTAGCATTATTGATCCTGTTGATCCTTTGTCACAGCTTCAAATCCCTGGACTTCAATATGGACTTGGATAATCATAATCCACTTGACTTCACGTTGTGTTCTTTTAATAATACAACTCCGAAAACTTTGGTGTTCTAAATAGGTGTATATATACAAGTGACCAATGGAAACAGCTAGGGTATTCCATTACATAGGTTATAATGCTAGGTGTAATATAATTTGGGATTTATGCCACATTAAATTATAATGTTATCTGAATATGATAACAGCTTGACCTAAAAAGCTCTCTGTTAGGCCCGGAAAGACCCCGCGATCGGCACAGTTATTCGGATTTCAACACTTGTCGCTTCGCCCCGTCGCTACTTTTGACGGTAGCTTCGCAGGCTAGGACGATCTTGTATAGAGAATAAATGCCGTTTCCCCGCCTTGTCGAGAAACGAAAGGGGGAGCACGGTGCGTTGCATGTATTAGCTCTAGAATTACCGCAGTTATCCATTAAACCGACCTGCTTTTCGCTTTTGAAAAACAATTAGTTTGCTTTCAAGGCCGGTTGTCGAACCATAAAATAAATTAGACGCTGTTTTCATTTCTTGTCTACGTAATCCATATTTGAATAATTCTCGGCATATTTCGCTCCGTCTAAGCAGACCCATAATTCTTAGGAAACCGGGATGTAACGTTAGCCGCGAGCTCAGCGTGTTGAGAGGGTTAGGTATAAATTATAAGGCCA